TGCATTTTAAAGGTACACTATTAATTATATAACTATTGCATTGCCTTTACATTGTACCTCATGTTAAAGCATAAATTACATTTTTGAACAAAAAAACAAACAAGAAAAAAAAAGGACACTGTGACATAATTGGATTAATAAGAAAGTATGTTCGAGAAAGGTGTGAAGAATTTCAGTTCAAAGGCGCAAACCTTTTGAGGTCAGCTGTCTGGTTGGTAGAGTCCATTTCTGAGGAGACTTCTTCAGGAAGAACATCAGTGTTTTTGTCCCCTCTTTCACTTTCAAATATCCTGAGGGAACAGCTGTCTGAAGCCACAACTGGAGCGGTTTGTGTATCTCCTGGTTTAGAAGGACCTGAAGAGGCACCAAAATCTGCAGACACACACAATAAAAGGAGTAATTTATTACAAAAACAAAAGAACCTGGACATGCTCTAACTCATACAGGTCCGTCGATTACCTATCAACATAACAAACTGTGCTGGTACATTATGGTGAATTTGATAAATTTGAATCTTTTGATAAATTTTAATCTTTTAAAGAAGTTGGTTCAGTGATTTAGCTTAAAATGACATTTGTTATATTATATATTTATAGATGCGTGCACACGTGCACAGACGTGTATGCATACATATGTAGCTGGGGCATCTTGTCCCCAGAAGTGTGTTGCTGCGCACTCTTCCCATTCCCCAAATTGTTTTCAGATTTAAGAGCATGTAGATTGCCGAGGAGATCAGATCTCAGACTGATTACTCTCGCAAAGGTATGTTTAACAATGATCTTGAGAGGTGGTTTAGAATTATTTCTAAATCCTCCACTTGATTTTTTTTTAGGGAAACATCTTTTAGAGGGAGTGACATACCAAGCGTCCTTTGACTGATTTCACTTTAGAGGAGGTAAAGGCCGCTTCTTATTATTGTCTGGCTACTTAAGGTCTAACCTTACCTCTTTTGAGTGTAGGTTGGCCTGCTACTGTTTCAGTTTTAAATTTTATCTCAGTTTCTCTTGCTTATTCAGTTTCAGATTAGAATTTCTTTTTGGTAGTTATTGATTCAAAGTATTTTTGAATCAATAACTTGATTCCCCCCCAATCAGTCGCTCCGGAGTATAAGTCGTACCCCCAGCTAAACTATAAAAAAAACTGCGACTTACAGACCGGAAAACACGGTAACTAAAAAATTTTACATGTGATGTAACTTAGTTACTTTCCAAATGCCCCCCTGCCCCCATCACTTTAATGTCACAGGAAGAGGAGTTCTTATTGTCCCGTCCTCTGGCTCATTTTAAAAAGGACCCTGTGCTGCCCCTGGGTTCAAAGCTGTTATATTTAGCTTGAAGAGACTAATGGAAGGAAAGTTTTGTTTTCTTTGATGTATTCATAAGGGGTTTGTGTGAGTGTGTTTTGTTGGTAAGCACTTAGGCATATTTAGTTGTATTTGTGTTTTCCTTATTATTATATCATTCCTCCCCTTTGCATCAGCCGAAGAGCTGATGCAAAGGGCTAGATACACTGTTAGCGCGGAAATACTTTTTATGGAGTTGTTTTTGCAGAGAAATTGTTGGCACCAGAGAGGTCGTCCTGACCTGACTTTCTTGCTTGCAAAGCACAAAAGTTGGATCAAAACACGGGTTGGGAAGTAAGCTGTTTAGCTAGATAAGAACAACAATTGTGATTAATTGGCTTATTTGGCAGTTCTGATGTGGAGCAGATGTTCAGATCAAGAGGTCATTAGTGTTCCAGAGAAACTCCAACACACTCTCAATCAACGGGCAGCCAAGAATCTTGACACAAACCAACATAGTTATTTGGAATTGGTCAAATAACCAATTCCAAAGGACTTTAAAACTGGTGTTATGTTCTCTATCTTCCTGGTTTTAGTGAGCAGCAGCTTCTGGATCAGCTGCAGCTGGATGATTGATTTGTTGGACAGGCCTGTGAAGACGCTGTTACAATAATCAATGAGGCTAAAGATCCATGCGTCTTCCATGCGTTTGTATGGATGAGTTTCTCTAGATCTGGCTGAGACATTAGTCCTCTAATCCTGGAGATGTTCTTCAGGTGATAGAAGGCCGACTTTGTAACTGTCTTTAGGTGGCTCGCAAGGTTCAGGTCCGAGTCTATCACTACTCCCAGGTTTCGGGCCTGATCGCTAGTTTTTAGTTGTAATAACTGAAGCTGTGCATTGACTTTAGATTGTTCCTCTTTAGGTCCAAAAATAATGACTTCAGTTTATTTCTGTTCAGCTGGAGAAAGTTTTGGCACATCCACATATTTATCTGTTCTCAGCATTTATTCAGTGATTGGATGGGGTCAAAGGTCACCTGGTGACATCATAATGTAGAGCTGTGTGTCATCTGCATAGTTGTGGTAGCTAATATTATTTTCTGTTATAACCTGAGCTAGTGAGAGAATATATATATTGAATGAGCGGTGTCCTAGGATTGAACCGTGGGGTATCCCACAGGTGACCTTTGACCTCTTTGATGAGAAGTTTCCAATTGAAACAAAGAAATCCCTGCTCTTTATGTAAGATTCAAACCAGTCGAGCACCGAACCAGAGAGTCCAACCCAACTCTCCAGTCGATTCAGTAATATGTCAAAAGCTGCACTGAGGTCCAACAGAACCAGCACTGTGGTTCTCCCACAGTCCGTATTTATATGGATATCATTGAATACTTTGACTAGGGCAGTCTCCGTGCTACGGTGAGCACAAAAACCAGATTGGAAGTAGTCAAAGCAGTTGGTCATCATGAGGAAACTATTTAATTGTTTACACACAGTTGTTTCAATAACTTTGCTAATGAATGAGAGGTCAGAGGTTGGCCTGTAATTCTGCAGTAGTGATTTGTCCAGATTGTTCTTTTTTAACAGTTTTAACTGCTGTTTTCAAAGCCTGGGGGAAAACGCCTGATGTGAGTGATGAGTTACTATTTGGATCAGATCAGTAGCAATAACAGGCAGGACTTTCTTAAAGAAATGTGTGGGTTGGACATCCAGACAGTAGGAGCTTGAACTTAATTGACTTATAAATTCTTCTAGGGTTTTATAATTAAGTAGTTGAAAATGGGTAATTTTTCCTGTATTTGTTTAGTTTGGGTACAGCAATGGTTCTGGCTTTAGAGTCAATGTGCAGATTAATCCTCTGATTTTTTTTTAAATTTTCTCTGAAAAGAAGTTGGAAAACTTGTTACAGGCAGCATTAGAGTTCAGGTGGTAACATCATAGGAGGCTTTGTGAGCCTGTCAACTGTTGCAAATAAAGCTTGAGCATTGTTAATGTTCATTAACAAACATTAACAATGCTCAATGTTTAGGACACTGAATGGAGGAAATCAATGTAAGACAACATGCTATTGATACTTCACACACTACTGACAGCATTTGGGCTAACATCAGCATTTTAGCTCACATACTAATTTTAACATACTGAATAGTGTAAGTCCATGTTAGCCAACATTCTTCTGATTCTCCACACACTGCTGACTATACTTTAGCTAAGCTTAGCATTGATGTTAATTTTCAGCATCAGGATGCCGGGTTCCAACTGACGGGCACACTTTGGTAACCCCAAAGCAATGACATAGTTTGCTATGTCATTGCTAACTTGCAGGCTGCTAAGCTTTTCTTAGGCCATTGCAGCTCACTGTTAAGGTAGTGTTGTTGTTGTACTTCTAATGTATGTAACTGAATGTAAGACACTTCTGTTAGCTGCTCTGAGCTCATCCTGAATTGTTAGTGTTTTGGGAGTTTCACTCCATTTTACAGAGAAATAAAGGAAGAATCAATCTGACTCGAGTGAAAGGAGTTTGGCTGATGGTTAGTTTTGTAACAAAATACGACAGCGAGACCATTACATGAAGCGATTCCTTTACCGTTCAAAAGAATCCAATCACATCAACACTCAGCAGTTATTACTTAGCTTCCTCTGATCATATAAGTAGTCCTTTTTTGTAACCAAATAACGTAATACTTGTTTAATCAGTCCATAGCACCTTATTCCAAAATGAAGCTGGCTTGTCCAAATGTGCTTTTGCGTACCTCAAGCGACCTCTGATCATGGGAGAAAAGGCTACTCCCGCATCACTCTCCCATATAACTTCTTCTTGTGCAAAATGCGCTGAATTGTTGAACAATGCACAGTGACACAATACAAGATGATGTTGTAGATCTTTGGAGGTTGTCTATGGGGAGTCTTTGACAGTTCTCACCATTCTTCTTCTCTGCCTCTTGGTCTGCCACTTCTGTGCTTAACAAGAACTGTCCCTGTGGTCTACCATTTCCTTACCATGTTCCTCACAGTGGAAACTGACAGTGGAAATCTCTGAGATAAGTTTTTGTATCAATTTGCATTCAATTATGCTGAACAATCTTTGTTTTCAGACCATTTCAGAGTTGTTTTCAGGTCTCCATAATGCCACTCTTCAGAGGAGATTCAAACAGGAGAGCAACTTGCAATTCCTCAACTTAAGTATCTTTTTTTATGATTGGATACACCTCTCTATGAAGTTCAGAACTTAATGAGGTTACTAAACTATTTTCGTGTTTCAGTCAAGTATTGATAAGTAGTTAAGGGTATTAAAGTCCATAAAATAGTAAGGGTATCCACATTTTTGCACCTGCCAAATTTTGTTTTCATGCATATTGCACGTTTATTTTCGTCCAATAAACTTTATTTTAATACTGAAATATTACTGTGTACCTCAGTTATTGGATCAAACTGAGTGGTTATAAAACTATTTCATACAAATAAAAAAATAAAAATAAAATAAAAGCATAAAACAAAATTATATTGTTTTGCATTAGTAGTCTGATTACTTTGATCGATTACTTTGGTCCAGAAAGTTAAAAACTACAGACCAGTACAATAAATGTATGCATAAGTTTAAAATGTATTTTGTTTAATGTTACTTTTCTGGTTTTTTATAGAGTTCAACCTTCTTAGATTGTAAGTTTTAAGAGTTTGTTTACAGCTTGAATCTAAATTGTTTTTGTCTGAATCGATGTAATGGAACGGGTTGCTTCTGATCCCCTCCATTACAACAGGAGTAACATCATGTTCATGTCTGTTTTCATTATTTCCCTTTACAGGTAAAATTCTGACTAATAAGGTTTACAGCTATAATTAAGTTTATTATGTTTGTCTAAAGAGCAGGGAGCACTTGTGGTGTCTGCAATAACTTGAGTTTTCTTTAGAGCTATACTCACATTACCTTTCTGGCTAGCTGAGTCCTGTCCTACACTTCTTATTGCTGTGTTTGTAACCCAGGTTAAAATAGCCTTCATTTGAATTAACTAATTACTATTTCATAATAAATAATTATAAAATGCGAAAATAGGAAAGAATAAATAGGGCAAAATAGTTTCAAATAAATAAATAATAATAAAATAAAAGTTACAGACAGTGTGATTTATATTCATGTAATTTATTTTGTTTTATTTGAAACTGTGTGAAGTTCATTTATTTTGTCAGCAGTTAGAACGGTCAAGTGTAAGAAAAAAGTATCTTATTCTGAAGGGTCACATGGCTGTGTAGTCAAGGTGACTAGCCCCATCCCTGCGTTAGGGGAAGGGAGAGAGACAGACCGAGAGAGAGAGCGAGAGCGAGGGAGTGAAGAGTCTTGCTGAGCTAAGGGAGATCAAAGCGAACCGCCGATTAGCAAGGCTACGAACAGCTGAAAACTTTCTCCTCATTTTTGGAGGAGGAGTTTTTTAAGAGTGTTGTCTGTTGGACTTGGTGAGTGAAAGACTGTATTTTATTTCTGTGATAAATGTTATTTGTAAGTTAATCTATTGACCGAAACGGAAAAAAACGGAGCAACGTATTTCCGTTAGTATACGTTGGAAGCCGTTAATGTAACAAATGAGCGGAGTTGGCTAGTGTGTTGCTTTGCGCGACACACAGAAAAGTTAAAAGGGACTTTTGTGCTTGTGGTTATTAAACCAGGCCTTTTTATGAAGTTCTACTCAAGCCGGACCGGAAATTTCCGAGCCAAATTGCCGAATTGGACTACGATGGCGAGCCGTTGACCCAGGAACCCAGAAAAGCGGATCTAGAGAACCAGGATCAACCCTTCAAAATCACCACAAGGAAAGACTGATTGGAGCACAAGTTGTTCAGTAATTTACTGGATTATTATTATTGTGTTTTATTTTTTCTTTTTGAATTGTATTCACGCACAGTATTGGTGTGGATTGTACATTTTTTTTGTTGGGTAAAAATAGAAACCAGAGTTAGTTAAAATAGGAGATTAAAAATATATTTATATATCATAATCTCTTAAAATAAAACTAAACACCTAAAATAGATTTTAAAAGAATAAAATTAATTAGATTAACCTTCTTAGCTAGAACTAAATTAGAACTACAATTTAGGTTAAATAAACAGCATCTTTTAAAACGTAACATTAGGTTTAAAAGTTCAAATAGGGATTAATCTGGAAGAACAGGAAATTATTTTGAATTGATTTTGTGTTATTGTTTGTCAATTGTCTGTATTTATATTGTCTATTGTTCTTTTTTTTTTTTTCCTTTTTCAACTAATAATAAGCCGGCAGTTAAACTTACTTTCCCTTGTCTGTGGTCATTTATATAGTAGCTCAATTTCCACTCCAGCAGCCGAACCTAACACTGGTCCTATTATTGTTGTTTTAACTGTTAACACGTCGTGAGTGTTACATGTTGGTATAACCACAATGTTTTTGTGCAATGTTCAGCACTCAGTATGTGACAATGTATTGTTTAAAACTGTTTTTGAAATACCATTACAACACTGGAAACGAAAGGAGTAATGTGTCTGTTTTCATTATTCCCCTTTACAAGGGAGAAACACAAACACCCAAATATTTAGAAATAAAATAATTAAGATTAATTGGGGTGCCCAAACGTTTTCACATGACTGGGGCATCCATGCTTCTCCAGCATAAATGCATTACAATACTTAAACTTATAGCTATAGAGCAGGGATGGCCAACCCGCGGCTCGCAAGCCGCATGCGGCTCTTTGACCGGTTCCATGTGGCTCTTACATTCATATATTCGCATTCTGCCAGACGTGCAATAATGACGAGAAGTAGTCAAATGAACTGTCATTTATTGACAACAGCAGCACGCCATTACTGTTGGCCATAACCACGCCAAAACAACACAAACAAAAAACAGTCTTTGTTTCTCTAGCAGCTTTACTCTTTCCAGTCGTTCTGCTCTCACACAAACCTCTGCTCACCCCTCATTCTCACTCCCCCTTCCCCTCGCTCTCTCATCCATCCTGATGCATTCGTGGACAATGGGAAATCATACACTCTAATTTAAATCTCTAAACAGCGTAACATCCAGCAACATTTAGCACATACTGTAGGGTCGCTATAATATCCAAGTTTTGCTTTGCTTGAGTTCAATACGGTATTTTCGTCAAATGCGCATGTGCGCAGTTTTTCAGTAAGAGTGAAATCATTTGAGTAAACCTTTCGCGCTCAAAATGGCAGGGAAAAAATGTGCAGGAAAACGAAAATATGAAGATGAACACAGAACATTTTTGACAGAGTGGGAGAATTGATATTTTTTTGTTGAATGTAGTGGAAAGCCATTCTGCCTTATATGTCAGGTGTCCTTGTCGCATTTTAAGGCTTCAAACCTTCAGTGCCACTTCAGCTTATTCCATTAAATAACACATGTAATACACATAATATACGGAGCCCCCTAGGAGACATGGGGATTTTTTTTTTTTTTTGCGTGTCCTTGCAATACTTTTGCGTGCCATCGCAAGACGCTAAAGTACTGCGTTACCTCGCAAAAGTCTTGCGAGGTAACGCAAAAGAAAAAAAAAATTCCCATGTCCCCCAATAATAAATGGAAAAATGTATTGTAAATTGTTCTATTATTGTTTGTTTATTTGGTTAAACAGAGTTTGTTTGCATGAGAAAGTGCACAGTGTTCATTGTTGAAAATGTCTGGCCTGTGGTCTTTGCAGTATTAAAATAGTGTGTGAAAATAATAAATCTGGCTGAGCAAAAGTATGAGTATGAGGAAGGGATGGGTTGATGTTCATGTGTGCCCATGCATATGATGTGGCTCTTTGCGGTAACTTGGTAAAAAAGGTGGCTCTTGGTCTTTGTCTGGTTGGCCACCCCTGCTATAGAGTCTTAAAAATATAATCAAAAAATTTTTAATAATTATCAATTATTTGCAAATCTGATAAATCTAAATTAAGTTAATGGATCTAAAAGCATGATGTAATTAATGCTGAACACATTTACAACTGGTGTTCTGTCGGATCAGCATACACCGTCATATTGTCATTCACTTAGTGACGACTATATCAGTCAGACAAGTAAACGCTGTCATTATCTTATGATTTAATTTAATCAGCAACATAGAATCATAACGTAGATCATCATACATTTTGTTATTAACAACTGTATGACATTCTGACTCAGACCGTGAGACCGTCATCAAGCAACAGGGAGGCAAGTTTTACACTGGCGTGTGTTGTAATTGACTGCAGCTTTAGCAAGTCTCTGCTTTAAATAGACATATCAGCTGTAAACCCATCTTCTGCTCTGCCAAACATATGCTCAGTGCAGCAGAGACGCTAGCACAGGGGTGCCAAAACTTTTTAAGATCAAGATCTACTTTTTTCTCACCAACCAGTTGAGATCTACCAAGACACAAATATATAAAACTTGTGATTCGAACTCTATTGACTTATTTTAAATGTGAATATACATCAGTCATAGCAGAAATGTTAAAGTGATAGAAAACCTAATCCAGATTCTTCCTCAGTGAGATTCTGACACTGGGAGGATATTAATGGTTTTTTATAGTCAGAAGCTGGTTGTAAACCTGAGGCCAGCAGATATCAATCAGTCATGGTAGATATGAAATTTGGTTTGATACCTCAATATGAGAAATGTCAGACTGATAAGAACCAAAGTGCACTGTTAAGTTAAGCACATCTTCTGAAGTTGGGATATTTTTCCTCCATCAAGTTCCAGAGGAGTCATCTCAAGCCCATGGACTGGATTTTATTTCAATGTCGTTTATTAATGTCAGCTCCTCATTTTCAACAGTGGAGCTATGCAAATTTAAAAAATTGTCATTTTGGAAAATGACAATTTTTCCACTAAATAAGAAACAACATGTCATTAACTAGCATGTTTGATAGAGGAAAAGCCAGAAAAATTGCCTTTCAGACTCTGTGCTCAAAACAAAATGCCAGTGAGCACCAAACTATTTTTTTTTTGTATATATATTTTACACAATTTAATTTCATATAATTGGTGCGGTTGGAGCCAATTGTTTAAATACTTAATGAAATATATTTGTCCTATTTGATGTTTGTTGTGAATGGCATGTACTCGCAAATGAACAAGATAATTAGTCCAATTTTGTCATCTTTTGAACGTTCTGAAACTAAAGCTACTGTAATGCGTCACGCAAAGGTAAAATAACCAGAACAGAAGATCAACTCAGAACCATTCATACCTTCTTACTCTCTCCGTCATGTAAGCATGTCCGTTACCATGCCAAGTGCCTCCGAGCAGAGATTACGTTAAAAACATAACATTCAGTCTGTTACGATATGAGATTGTTTTTGCAGGCTTGATACTTATTTTGCGATTATTAGCGCTCCACTGAACACAGCACTGGCTGATGAGCTAATTTCAAACTCCTGCTCTGCTAGTTAGAGTCAGCCGCCTTTTGATTTTTTATTTAGGTAATGGGGCCAAAATGCACAGAACTGCGTAACATCGTAACATCTTGTTGAAATAATAATTACTGATATTATTATTTTTGTTGGGTCATTAATTCAAACACGTTTTGTTGATTTTTTTTGACAGTATAAATAAAATGTATTTTATATATATTATTTTCTAATACATTGACAAAGATTTTGGATCTAAGTGATTATTTTGATAAGCGGGTCAGAAGAGGGCATGCTGGTCTCAGCCCCTTGGTGGCGTTCAGTTCGTCACCTACTGCTGAGATCGACTCAAAAGCTTCCTGCAATCGACATATTGAGCACACCTGCACAAGCTTATTTAAAAAATATATTAATAATAAATATACAGTACAGACCAAAAGTTTGGACACACCTTCTCATTCAATGAGTTTCCTTTATTTTCATAAATATTGACCTTGTAGATTCACACTGAAAGCATTCACACTGAAAGCATGAATCAACACATGTGGAAATATGTACTAAAGTGTAAAACAACTGGAAATACGCCTTCAAAGTAGCAACCTTTTGCTGTGATCACTGCTTTGCACACACTCTGCATTCTCTTGATGAGCTTCAAGAGGTCGTCACCTGAAATTATTGTCACTTCACAGGTGTGAATAAGAAACAAAAGTGGACTTTCTTAATAAGTGGGCTTTCTTGCTTTATAAACAGTCATGAAAATAAAGGAAACCCATTGAATGAGAAGGTTGTGTCCAAACATTTGGTCTGTACTGCATTTAAAATATATATATTATTTCTGGTTTTTGGTGACTCTGTGGTTTAGGAAACCCAAACCTTCATCTGTCAGAAAATATGAATATTGGTGACCGTGTGAAAACAAAATAAAAGGAAAATTTGAAGATAAAAATAACAAGTGAAGGTCCAGATGCTCACCCTCCTGCTCATGGTTCTGTTTGGCTTGTTTCTCAGTGTCACCGTTGTCTACAGGAGAGCTGCATCTTGGACCAGTCTCAGTACTGGTGAAATCAAAAACAAAGAATCATACATTACAATGAACTGTGTCTATATAAAGAGTAATTACTGACTTCTTCATTGCAGATCAGTTTGGTCTGGGTCTTGCTGAAAACCTCCTGGCTTTATATTAAATTAGTTAGAGAAGTAAAATATGTTCTACTTTATGTCAATGGTCAGTTTCTCACCTGGTGAAAGGCTGGAACTCAATAAAGTTAGCCCAGCCTGTTACTTGTGTTTGTGCTTCACCCGTGCCTGAACTCTCCCACCCTGTTGGCACTTGGGGTGGATCAGTCCCTCCAGAATCCCTGAAATTTGCCGTCCAGCCTGGACCTGTGGAAGAAACAGTAAAAGAACAATTTGAATCCATAGGAACCTTCCAATTGTGTTCTGGAAAGAGTTGCTGTATCCTGTTATACCTGTCTCTGATGTGCTTTGCTCAGTATCTTCTTCCTCATCTGATTGCAGCTCACAGGCCTGATCCTGTCCTCCATTTTCTATGCTGCCCCTGGAGTCTCCTTCTGAAGTCTGAGATACCCCAAACCTGAAACATGGAGTAAACGAAGTTCATCAACCATCTGTGGGCAAAATAAAACTTGGAGTGTGAAAATGACGAGCTGCACCTTGTTCGTGATTTAGCTTGTGCTGCATAGTTGATCTCCTTCTCCTCCCAGATGTCCTCTTCCTCCTCTTCAGCATCATCAAACTGACGTATCCTCTCATTACAGCAGGCTTCAAAAGCAGCTACATTGGCCTGAGGGAAAAAAGCAACAGTAAAAGTGAATGATAGCAAGATTGGACAATGAACAGACCTCATATTTGTTGGATAATTAGCTATAAATAGATGTATTTTATCACAAAAACTTTCAAATTTATTGTTCTCAACCTTTTTGTTTTCAGCTAAGTTTGAAATCTCCTTTTGAATTTGGAGTATTTCAAATACAGATATTCTACAGATCAGTATTTTGTCCTATTCTCGTTCACCTTTCTGTGCACCTCCTTTCTGTCTCTAATTTTGACTTTAAGTTGCTAAAGGGAATTATTCTAGTGTATATTCTGTCTAAACAATTCCTTGTGTCCATCCCAGAAGGC